AGATAAAGCATCATGGAGATGAAGTTCCTCTTCCAACCTGTCTCTGCTGACTGCATTTTTGCGATGGCTCTCATCAGCTGGCTCCGCAGGGCATTCATTCTGGCAAAAGAGCCATTGACTTGCCAGCTGGTGTCTGCAATGGTGTAGCCGCTGCCTGTGGGGAGAAAAGGGGAGGCACAGCTGAGGGGCGTCCAAGTGGTGTCTGAAAGGGTAAATTCAATCCTGGGCAGGTATGTCCTTAGGTATTCACTATACCATGGACAGTATATCATAGTCTCTTTTAATTTAGGACGTACTTGCACTCTTCACGTAATCTAAAGGAAAAAACAGCCCTGCAGCACCCCTGCTTGCCACAGGCTGTCTTCCAAAAATCTGGAGAGCTGTGCTCCAGTCAGTACTCTTTCTCCTTGCTTTACCAAAAGTGCTGAGAATAGCTGCAACTGGTACACAGGAATAGTTTTAAGGAAATCAAAAGGTCCTGAAAATTTTGAAAGGTAATCCTCTAATTTTAGCTCTTCCTTTCATTTGCAAAGAAACTATTTTCTTTCACTTCTTTTATTTGTGAAAAAAGGCCAAACTACTTTAACATTTATTATTACCCTTCACTGGTGAAATCCAGACTTCTGAACACTTAAGCTGCTGTGATTTGATTTTAATTGAACTACTTAATTGGGTATATTTACCAGTGAACAACAGTTTGCAGGGTCACATATTAAAATGGTAATTGTATCTGAAATGGACTTTTCATAAATGAAATAAACTATCAGTATCTAGTAGGAGGACAAAACATGAGCTACTCAAACTGTGCCCATGGCCATTTCAAGTATTTTGTGTGGTAAATTCAATCAATAACCTATTCTGTTGCAGCAGTAGTTCTGCTTAGTGATGTGCTTCTGAAAGGTATTTTAATGTGGAAGGCTATAAGCTGATTAGGAAAGTAGAAAGGATGTATATTTACTGTCATGTGCTGTCCGTTGTAACTGCATGGCTCGGATGAGAAGTTCTTCACTTTTACCTTTATGATAAATGACCTGAGTATCAATTCCGACTGCAGCCTACAAGCATGTTCCAAAAAAAGAAAGTGAGAATAATCCTTATCAAATATGCCACTTTATTGTGATTAATTGTGGACAGTATTTTACCTTCATATAAATGCAACTGCAAAGTCACTGCAGTTTCATTTGCTTTGTTAACATTTAAGACTGGCAGTTGGATTGGAAAAAAGTCTGAAAAGCAAAATTTTCAGTTTCAAGAAATTTTAGAGAAGTGTATGGTTTCCCAAACAACACTACTGAGTAACAAAGATGGAGAAAATATATCAGCTCCAGTTTAGGCAACATGACTAAATGCTGCCTGTTATTTAGGAACTGTGACTCTTAATTTCTACTGTCGTCTCAGATAGGTAGATAGAAAGATAAATGCTTTCACTTCATGGGGAGCTGCCTTGCAGTCTGCAGCAGTATGCCAGAAACAGAGGTCTGGACTTGAAATCCCTCATCCCTCTGAGGTTAAGACCCCTTTAATCTACCCAAATTATCTTGCTACCCCACTAATGAATTGCTGGTAAATAGCACATATACAGACTGGTAACTACAGGCATACAAAAAATACATGTGAAGTATTTTTGAACAGTAAGGCCAGAGAAAAAAATTAGCATCCTACTCCTTACACTGAGTGTGTGAGTGGGCTTTGTCCCATTTCAGCCTGATTTTCTATGAGACAAAGTGATGTCTTGAGCACATTTCCTGCCACATGGCACTCAGTGAAGTAGAGGGACTCAAACACTAAATGCCAGCTCAGGTTCCCACAGGAGCAGGGAGTTGTCTGTAATTTCACAGAAATGTCTCAATGTGGGTAACAACACAGAGCAGCGTCACCCTATGGGATAGGGACAGAAGCACCTCTTGTGTCTTTTCAAATACCAGGAGACTTCAGACTGGAAGAATAATTAACTGCATGGGATTTAATTCAGGAAATAATAAAGGAAAAAAATATGCAGTGTGAAGTTCAATACTGCCAGATGACAAAAGTTGTTTTTTTCTTTACATTTAGGTGTCTGAAGTCTCTGAAACATTGTAAAGTAAAAGCTGGTATTATGAAAATTACTTACATCCTTGACCCGGTTTGTAGTGTTCAGTGCCAACGATGCAATTTCATTGGCTTCTTCGATATAACCAGCAATGTTTTCATACACATTTGAAGCATTGATTGCCCTTTGTACCAAACCATTTGAATCAACACCATACAAATTCCTGTTAAAAAGAAAGTAAAAGGTGAAAGAAACCAAACTGAATCAAAGTAGTTTCTGACTACATGATCACACACATAAATGTACTTGGCCTAACTGGTATTCTCTTCATTGTGTTTTACCAATCTGAAGCAGGTGAAAACTGTGTGGATAGGAGAATCTCCCCTGCCATATAACTCTGAGAATTTTGCCCTTAACATTTATGTGAGCAGCAACAATTCTTTAGGAATAATTCCTATCAATAAATGGAAAGAACTACGTGTGTCAGTGACCAGGATAGATGGGTCACCCTCTGTTTATATTTTCCAAGATAAGTGGAAAAATGGGGAGAATCAGATGAAGATCTACCCCTAGCCATGAGAATTTGCAGGAGTTAGACTGAAAGAAGCCTTTGATGGCATGATTTTGATCTGTATGTTAGGTGATAACTGGTCTTCAGGGGAGATTCCAAACAGAAGATAGTTCTGGGCTCAAAATTTGTCTGTTGACAAATTTGAATTAATATTATTTTTAATGTTCTGGTGATAAGCAGATTTCAAAGTATATTTTAGAAATATGTTCTAAATATAGATGTATTTGCACATGTGTGCATTCACTTCAAAGTGTTTGCACACCGAGAGATTATTAAATTTCCAGATTCAGCATTATTGCAAGAATTTTCTGCTAAGTTCCCTTAAGGCAAAACACTAAACTCTATCAAATAAAAGTCTAACAGGCTAATAAAGCAAACCTATAAAACCAAGATGTTTTGAAGACAGGCTAAATGTTTTAAAGGATTAAAGTTTCACTGCAGGACAATCTTCTCAACAAATAATAGAGTCAGCATTAATCCATCTGGGTATTTTGTAATTACTTTTGTTTGCTTTTTGTGAAATTCCTAATGTGTTGAACTTAGTAATAACTTTAAAATTATTTTGGTAAGGGAGGAAGGATAGCTACATGGGGTATTTTCTTTCAAGTTAGTCTGCTGTCCCGAGTTAGCTGATCTCAGACTGAACATATTGTTTGGTTTTTATGTTCCTGTAGTTTGTGTATCATTATAGAGCAGTCTCAGATGTCAGCTTTATACAATTGCATAAAAGAAGACCATCTGTTATTTTTTCCCTCTATTTTAATCTCTTATCTAGGGCATACAAATATTAAGAAACAACTGGTATTTAGATAATATACTTGAAGAGTAGTTGTAAGCTTATCTTCCAAAAGCATATGCCTATGATATTACTTAAGGTAGATTTTGGTGACACATTTTATTTAAGAATTCATTTACAGCAGCGATTTTTCCACGGATAGTCTTAGTTGCAAATAAAATCATTAAATTTATTTAGAAGTGATTTTTTAATAAATTGGTGCAATGTTGATGCATTTGGTATCTTCCAACAAAATATAAAGAATTAAAAGAAGTTTTTGATGTTGTTGTGAGCCAGTTTTATTTAGCATCAGAACTACTCCATCTGTAAAACTGTTGGATAAAAATTCTCTCAAAGCTCATTTTGTACCCTGTAATGCTAAACATTTTTTTAATGTAAATGAACTTACTGACATGAGCAGTTTCTGTGGACCCATTTAATCTTGCTTGTATTATTTCACTTTTCACTAATCCACCTTTCCTATTCTTTTGGAAGAGGAAGGGAACATGCCCAATTAGACTAGAGAAAATGTCATGCAAGATATATACTTATTCTTTAAAAAGTTTCATAGCTTTTGCCTAGCTCAACTTCAGCTGTTCTGTGTGGACTATGACAAGTCCTTCTACACATGACTTAACACTGATTTGTTTAGTGCCTATTTATTATCACTGTGCTTCTGCTTGTCTTTTCATCTGTTCAGTAAGTGACACTTGTATGAACAGAGTCTGCTGAAGTGAAATTTTACCCATCCAGCTCATCAGAAAGTCTTCTTAGGTTTTGTGCATGATGCATAGCCTTTTCTACCAGATCATCGTCAAACAGGGACAGGTTGGCTATTTTTTCTTGCAGTTCCTTTTTTGCTCCATCTATTTCTGCGTAGAACCCTGATGCATTCTGAACAAAACAGGGAAGGGAGGAAAGATGAAAGTTGCAAAAAATCAAGTCTGTATTTTGATTATTATGGGTTTTTTTTTTACCCTTTATGTTATTATAATGTTCCTTTATTTCTCTTATAGTTGTTTTAATCTACATCTTTAAGAGAAAGAGAAGAAAGGTCTAATGGTGAATGCCAGTATAGAGACAAATGCAGGAAGATGAAAATCAATAAAAATTCCAGAAATCACTTAAGAAGGCATTGGAGAGAGATGCATAAAATAAAAAAGAAAGATGCTAAAAGTCTTACTATATATTTTGTGTGTTTGCTCCAGAATTATGCCAATGACAAGTCTTTCAGAGTGAAGTCCCCTTTCTGCCTCCTTGCACAGAGATTTCTAATGCTAGAGACATCAGGATTAGTCTAATTTGTAAATCAGTCCACCTAAATACTACCTATGTATGTATAGGCAAGGAGAAGCAGAATCCCTTTGTCTCAGCCATGTTTCTTCCTGTTATGAAATACTTGTGGAAAGACCAAATGGCCTGCATTCACCTTCTCTCCAGTACACAAGCTTGCCAATGTGTCTGAAGATTAGAAATGTGGCAAAATGTGATTATAAATGTGTTTCTAAATACATGAAAAAGCATGAAACAGAGAGAGGGAAAAAGGATAAATGGGTGAAATGTGAAAATACTTGTTGCTGATGAGGATGGACAATGTATAATATTTGCTTCCTTCCTTGCAGTGTGAACGTCCTCAATGGGGAACCCAAAATGATAAACTGCAGCAATGTGTTTTGGACAAAACACCAGAGAAAAACCTCAACGCACTGCTTGAACACAGGGTCAGTTACAAAGTAAGTTGTCATTCTGTTTTCTCAAATTATTTTTTCAAAGAAAAATTAATGACTTTTGGTAAATACTTTGTGTTAAGAAGTGGGCAACTGTGACCAAAATGAGTGCTTGTGGAAAATTTTCTTATTTCTTCAATTATTTCAAAAATTTAAAATAAGTAATGAAGAAGGAGAGCAGCTCTGGTAAATATTTTAATTAGCAATTTCCCAGTTTTATTTTCTTCATCTTCTCATAGAAAAGCTAAACCCTAAAAATTTCTACAAATTTCCTTCAGCACCATGTCTGATTCAAAACACTGGATAGTAGTCTACAGTTCCAGAAAAGGATTTCTATACGACAATCTGGTAATATATGTTTGACACAGTGCCTGGTTCTAATGTTGATATCCGGGATCTTAAGTGTTCTTCCATGCTCACTCATAAGCACCACGAAAGGAATTTAGCATGTATTGCAGTCTTTTACCAGAACATCTGTTGGCACCTGCCTGTAATGAAATAATTGAGAACTCTATAGCAAAATCTTTTATTAAGCTTTGCCTACAGTAATGCTAGAATTATTTTTTTTTTAGGCAGTAAATTGTAATAACAGAGATTTTCACCCAAGAAAACCATCTACTTTTTCAGGGAATATTAACCAGTATTTCACTGAAGCTGTATAAAGGAGAGTTTTTCCATTAGTGATCTAAACATATGACTTCAAAAAATCTGGATGTATAATTTAAACAAGCCACTGAGGCACTTACCTTTATTACTTCACTTAACTCAGAATTGACCTTTTGTGGTCCTTCCAAAATAGTTGTAGCACTGAGCAGAATGCTGTTCACTTCATCCATTTGCTCTTTTGTCTTCTCGTGTTGTTTCTAAAAAGAAAGCTCAAAACATAAATTGCATCCAATACCATTTGTGCTTTGATATGTTAATCAATTTTTTAAAATGTGCTGGAGTTAATTAAAAGCTAGTGGTGAACTAATTATATTTTAGACATATTGGAAATCTGATTTTCCAAGACATGTCTATTTGCTACATATTACAATGTGAATTACTTTTTGTTGGTTTGTTTCATGAAAGAAATGTTGGATGATTAAAAAAAATATTAATTTCATTTTATATTACAACCTAAGGTGCTATTGGAATGAAGCACTATTTATTGCACAGCAGAGACAAGTGAAGCATGGATTTTTCATACTCATCTGGAGACTATCTTTTTCTGGAGTTTTTTAAAATCTACAGTACAGAGATCTCTTTTTCTTGTCAGTAGTAAAGCCAATGTGAACAGTCTCTTTTGTGCACCATTTGCCTTCATCATGAGGAATAATGGAGATCCTAATGGTTAAGAACAGTGAACAAATACAAGTACACTCTTCAGGCCTTGCTTCATAACTGTGAGACAAGCTGCAGCTTGGCACTGTAATTATGGAACAACAGAAGAGGCTTTGTACTTAAGGATCTCAAGCCCTTGTGACAGGATTCACTAGAGGAGCACTCCTGATTTCTCTGTTGAATTCTTAGACCTTCCATATCAGCATGAACTTCTAGCACTGCAAATTTCAAGAACTCTGAAACTGATGCTATGAAACACAGAGGTTGGCCTGAATTTGTGGGATTTTTCTTCAAATCACAAAATTGCTCACTAATGCCCTCTCCTCCAGAAAACAAAAGATTTCAATCATTGGCATGAAAACAGTTTGGTTTGAATGGCCCTAAATTGTTCTCTTTGTAAATTTTTTCCTTGATGAAAAAATAAATGAGAAGTTTTAGATGTGATATTCTGGTTTTGCATTCCTTAAAAGAAATTTATGAAAACCGGGAAAGAGTCACAGAGCTGCTCTGAAGAGAAGAAAATAGTTTCTTTTGTTTTGGCTGATGGGTTGGGTACTTTCCTGGGATATTAAATGTGAAAATTCAGTTTTCTCATCAGCCATGTGGTTTTGAACCTAATGCCACCACTTCCAAGCAAAGGAGCCCCACTTCCAGGCTACAGGGGACAGGTCACCTCTGAGCTTTCCTCCAGAGTGATTACTTTGTTCAAAACCCTGAAACTGTTCATTTGGACAGGACACAAGGGAAAACTGTTGCAAGCTTATAGCTAAGATAGCAAGTTCACCTAGCAAGTAGGAAACCCAATTTCAAGGTATCTGTTGTGGAGGAGTTAGACAATTGATTTGTGCTTGAAGATTCAAGGACAGCTGTCAACTCCTCCTGAAAAACTGGGGATGCAATTGATTTAAGTGATTCAGAGGAAGTTTGGATCAGACAGTATGAATGCATTCAGCCCAGGGCACAAACATGGTTCAGAGTTTTTGTAAGTAATAGTTTTCTTAGAACAGAATTAGTTTTGTGAACATGATGCCCTCCCACATTATAAGCCAGGACATAACTGGATGAAGTAATTCCAACACAATATTTATAGCAGCCATGCTACCTGAAATTTCAAGCTTTCTGACTTTTATTGTAACATGCCTTTCTAGTCTAGGCATATGTATCCATCTCTTCCTTGGTCTGATGAGGCATGACATGCCAAAACTTCTCATTTATTGTCACTCCACAAATAGATAATAGTACCTTGCAATTCCACAAGCTGTTTTTTAGAACTGATGAGTCAAACTCATCCTGCTGAGTGGTCCAAGAAACTTTTTTTTGGTGTGGTGATTCCTGAATCTAAATTGTGTATAATCTACTGTTTTAAGCAGTGGCAGAGATGGAATGTTCACAGTCAACACTTATGATAAATGTAGTGTACAGTACCTCCTGCCTTTGGAGCCTGGCTGTGTTTTCCCTGTTTATATCCTCTGTTTGTGTAACATAGTCCAGCGCCTCGCCTAATGCCTCCTCCAGGTCTGACAGCTTCACATCCTGTTCGCTGAGCTGCTCCAGCACATCAGTTACCAGGGACCTGGTGTCATTGTACTTCTCGTGAAATGCTTCAATTTGCTGCAGCACTGGGAGAAAAATAGAGACCAATAAATCAAAAGCTTGGATTTCTGACAGAACTTACCTATACAGGAATTTCTTTACTTTTACTCAGGTGACAGTAAAACACATTTTGTAAAGCTCATTTGAGGGATTATATACCTAGATTTTAATTTTCCCTTCTCTTTTGAGAAGGAAAGATGCCTCTCATTTTACTATTTCATTTTAATCCTATTACTTCCCCCTCTGAAACATATTTCATTAAAAGAAACTAGATCTGTCTTTGCCTGCTTTTAATTTGTTTTTCATTGTTAAACCTAGGCAACCTGTTCTGGAGAAGACAGTGTTTATGCCTCATGTTCTGACTCATGTTCATTAAACTGTGAGAATTAGGCTGCCACTTTTTGCCATGCCAGCAGCTTTTCTCTCTCTGCTGGTGTTCGCTGTCCCCATAGGCAGGGGGGAAGATGTTTACATGAGCAATTCCAGCCCTGCCATGAACCTTCCTAAGCAGCTGTTGTTGAGGTGCTGCAGTGCACAGGCACACACAGACCTTTTCCTCCTATTCTGCTGTGAGGAGCATCGAGCACCAGCAGGTACTTGGGGCAGGAATTTGGGAGCAGCAACATCTCCAGCACACCAGCTGGTGTTTGCCAAGGTCCTCCCCAGGGGCCCAGCAGTACACCCAGAGCTGCCCAACACCTGCCAGCTGAGCATCAGCATGTGGCTGAAAGGAAAACTAACTTAAAACTCACACTCCTCTGCTGCATTTTCCTCCTCATCTGCAAGTTGCCTCTGATTAGTGAAAGGATTTCGATGTTTGATCTCCTTCAGCATCTCCTCGGCCATGCTCCGCTTCTGGGCAATTTCTTCGGGGCTCAGCTCTTGTTGAATTGCATAGTATTTTGACTTGCTGCTGATTTCTAGGGGCAAAAGGCAACAGATGGTCGATTCAGTATGCCTACACAGAAATAAATACTGTAGACTACTTTTACTTTTGTGAATTGTGATTATACTGATGGCAAAACAAAGTTTTAATTATCTTCAACTCCATAGTAGATAAAGATTATGTTTAATCAATCCAATCTTAATATTAAACCTGTAAATAATTCACACTTTCTGCCACATGTGAAGAGGATGGGATTAAACAGACGTGGGTTGTGTGCATTATTTGCCTTGACATTTCTTATAGGCTGGGATAATAATTTTATTTTGGATTCTGTGGCATGTAGCAGGCTGACGCTTTCATCTAGGATCATGGCTTTTAAGTGCTGCTGTTTATAAAATAATAACAATGCTAAGGAGACTGAAGTAACCTCATTTTCCATCTGCAGAAGTTTGAGGCACCCTAAGGAGGTAACATACGGCTTCTGGCCTGATGCTGCCTAGGTGGTTTGGAGATAGATACTATTTCAAGGTTTTGGTCTCAGTTCAAAAAACATTGTTGTATCCCTGCAGCTGAAATTGAGTTTACCCATTTCCAGTGCAATCATTATGAAATTTGCTCACTTCTCACTCCCTGGCCTTGAATACCAATCACGTCCTCTTTTATGTCCTGTGATGTGTGTGCCTTTGGCTAGTGCTTGCACTAGTTTTATGGGTAAACAAAGTTGGAAAAACCAGCATTATTCTTATGGAAGATTTTTATAAAAAATAGGTGTGTAATTGTGGCACCACTGATTCTTTGGCAGAGTGTCTGTATGCCTGCTCTTGCTGGGCCCTGAGCTCATTAGTGAAGTTTTAAAGGCTCATACTGAGCAGAAACTGATGATGACCAGGGCTCCATGGATTTCTTTTTCCTTATGCTGGTACATGTGTTTGTGCAAATGGGTGATACCTCTGTAGAAGAACAGTTTTGAGCATGGTGGAAATAATTTTCACCTACTCGTTTCCAACTGTTTTCATTCTATTCACAGCCATGGACATTGTTTTCTTCTATAACAGCTTAATGTGATTGTGCTATTTGTGTGCCAAATTAGATGCATATTGATTTGGGGTTTCATTGCTTTCTGCAGGTACTGAAGAAGAGGCTGCAATTGGTTTAATCTCATTTTTATATTTCAGGATGCTAATGGTATGTCATAGATATTCCAGATGAAGATGATTATCTCTGACTAGGAAATCTTTTCTGAGTGCAGTTGTGCTTGAGAGGGTGTTCACTGTTGCCATAAATTACATATTGTCCTATATATCAGAAGATTTTCCTTTGATATATTGGACAATAAAAATTCATGATGATCCATTAATACACGAAGGCTTCATTAATACATTCCTGACACTGAGATGAACCAGAAATGAATCTATTTACCTTCAATGTTATCTCTTATATCATTGAGCTGCTGCACAAGCTGAGAAGCACGGTTGTTGATCTCTGTGGTTTCCTTCTGTACCAGTCGGCCTTTGCTAGATGCTTCATTTCCCTATGAATAAACCATGAGAGGTAAACAATAGATTTCTTTTCAGATGTGAGGATGAGCACTATAAACACATATTTTGCTTTCTCCCGGTGAGCACATGGAAGTCCTTTTTATCATATAAAGTAGTATTTAAAGGTGTTCAAAGTGAAGATCTGTCTTGTCAGTGTTTTCAGAATTGCAGAGTGAGAGATTAAAATCTGTTCCATATTCATCTATCATTTGCTGCAATGAAATTTTCATAAATTAGGTACAGTTGTAAAACTCTATCTGCTGAATCTCCTAGGCATTCAGTGGGGCTGGCTTATTTTGTTGCTGCATATGGCATTTCCTGAGTAAGCAAACAGAATGAAGAAAAAGGTGTCAAGCTCCTAACTCTTTTTAGATTTGTGTCTCCCGCAAGTGAGATCCCCAGCTCTGCAATTTGTTAAAGAAAAAGCCTGAGAATTGAAAATACTCTGAGGAGCACAGCCACAGTCCTGTACTACATTGTGTTGGGGGCTGCTCTCTGCACTGTGTTCCCTTACTTAGGGTTTCTGGAGACCCCAGGTGGCATTTGAAGGCAGGGACAGGGTGGACAGCATGACTAAAAGGGATGGGCATAATGATAAAACAAATTGTAAGGGTTACGAGACTGAAAAAACAAGTGAAAGGGTTAGTAGAAATGCTTTGGGTTCCCATCTTCCAAATATTCAGGATCAAGCTATGTTCTGTTTTACTCAAAACTCATCCCATGCAGACTTTGGGAGTTACAGGTAGTTACAAGAGTTATATTTAGTGGGAAGATTTGCCTACTGTTGGTCTATTCACCCTGCCTTTGTGGTTTAGATCAGAATCTGCAGCAACCCCTGAGATGTGGGGACGTGCACATAAAATGCTCTGAGCAGAAAATGCTGTGTGTCTCTGTGAAACCCACTTAAGGTCCTAGCACCCCTTTTCCATAAATGTACCCTGAAATAGCATAGAGCTCAATATATTCAGAGTTACTATTGGGGTCTTCCACTGTCAGAGTCTGGGGTCATTATTAAGCAATCACAAGTATTGATGTGGAACTAGCATCACAAGTAGCCAGGGACAAAAGACCAGAGGAAATGCTGAATTTATTTGCTCAGGGACAGTAAAACTGAGGAATGAGGAAAAAAAATCCCCAGATAGTACTGCAAATGAAATGTTATTATCCAAACTCACTAAATATTCATAGAAAACCTAATGCCTTAATCGGTCTGCCTACCAGCTAGAGAGAGGGACTCTGAGGTGTGTGAACTTGGACAGATATTCAGAGGTACGGAGCTGTGAGTTGATTTATTCAAAGATCTCTTGAACTCAGGCATAGTCTGTATAAGTTTTTTGTGCCCTTTCTGCTAAGTAAGTGTTGATTAAAAACATATAAACCTAAATTTTCTCTTCCACTTTCTTTTTACTCCCTTGCTTTTTAACTCC